TGACAAAATTTTATAAAAAGAAATTGACAATTTGTTAAAAACAACTTTTCCAGAGCTCTTGGAAATTCTATATGTTAGGGTTGGATAGAGAATTTGATTTTACAATTGGTTACTTCACCCTGACTTAGTACTCTTTTAGTACCCCCCTCCTTTATGCTGTTCCAAGACTACTGTCCCAAGACTAGTGTCCCAAAACTAATGTCCCAAGACCAACGTCCCAAGACTAGTGTCCCAAGACTAATGTCCCAAGACCAATGTCCCAAGACTAGTGTCCCAAGACTAATGTCCCAAGACCACTGTCTCAAGACCAATGGCCCAAGACCAATGTCCCAAGACCACTGTCCCAAGACCACTGTCCCAAGACCACTGTCCCAAGACCAATGGCCCAAGACCAATGTCCCAAGACCAATGTCCCAAGACCAATGTCCCAAGACCAATGTCCCAAGACCACTGTCCCAAGACCAATGTCCCAAGACCAATGTCCCAAGACCACTGTCCCAAGACCAATGTCCCAAGACCACTGTCCCAAGACCAATGTCCCAAGACCACTGTCCCAAGACCACTGTCCCAAGACCAATGTCCCAAGACCACTGTCCCAAGACCAACGTCCCAAGACCGATGTCCCAAGACTGTTTCGTACCAAGACTGCTCTGGTCCAAGACTGTCCCAAGGCTGCACTGTCCCAAGACTGTCCCAAGACTGCTCTGTCCCGTGACTGTCCCAAGACCGTGTTGCTCCAAGACTGTCCCCAGACTGCAATGTCCAAAGACTTCTTCGGTACTGTCCCAAGACTCGTTACTGAGTGTTTGGATATCGGGTCTCTTCTTCTTCGTTGTAGGGACTACTGAACCACTGTACTTTTTACCACCACTCAAGCTCTAGTAAAATTTTTCCCAAAATCCCTATCTGACTAGTCAAAACCCAAATACTGATCCCCCTGTATTTGAAACCTTAAATTCCCCGCAGGTATCTTGTGATCACCTGTTCGTTAAAATATCAACAACAAATTTTCAAAACGCAAAAATTTAAACTGGAAAAATTTCAAAAACAGATGGATGAATTCTCCTGAAATTCAAGGTTGACCGATGTCAATCTTTGTCCGAAAAAAATGTCTGGTACCCGATTGCCACGCGTTTTCCTCCCCCCTGCTAGCAATCTTATGGGGTATCACAAAAACTGTCTATGTCCGTTCCCCCCTACCGATCCGACCAGGGTACCTACCTTAACCTGATTTTAATTTTGGATATCCGCTTCTTATAACCAACGCGTGTGAATATCTAATGTAATTAAATCGACGATGCCGAACAATTAGTTACTCTAACGTGTCCTCCCTGTTTACAACCGCTAACCTCTAACTTAACCAGCCCCCCTGGTAACCTCCCCCCTTTTTAGCCCCCCTCTTAAGCCGAAAAATCCCTTAAGCGCCGGGTGCTAAACCTCTCGAGAGAAAACCGTAGACCTGTTTCCAGGCCTGCTTGTGCAAAAACTTCCTCAAAACAACGGGGCTCCGCTTATCCAATTTTACACTTATCTCCTATAATGTAATGTGGATTCTAACGATACCCGCTGCCCAACTTGAGAACACTCCTGTGCGTCCTCTTGTAGTGACCCTGTGCTGGTTGTCTCTGTTCTGCACTTGACAGCAGCACCACTTTCCCACTTGGCTGGTCACCTCTTCCATTCAAGTTTCCAGTGGGTTCAGCTCAGTACTTCTGAACCACTTTCCCACTCGGCTGGTCACCTCTTCCAGTCAAGTCTCCTAGTGGTCCGGTTCGATCCTTGTGAACCACTTTCCCACTCGACTGGTCACCTCTTCCAGTCAAGTCTCCTAGTAGTCCGGCTAGGTTGCAATCTATCTGAAAACCCTTAACAACGCCCCCCACTCGGGCACCTTATTGAAGTCACTGGTTTAAATTGCTAGATTGATCGAAACGATCGGTCTTATAAAACAGTATGGGTATACTATCTAATTAATATAAAGGTTTGATCCAAATGGTCCGGTATCGAAGTCACTGTCTTTTCGTTTTATGGTTTTTGTTCCTTTTTCTATACTTTTTTCTTGTTTTTGTTTCCCTAGTTGCCCCTCCCCCTTTACTCGGTTAGCTAGGCCTCGTTCGGAGAGCGTACCAGGAAGTTTTCTCAAGTTTTCTTAAAAAGCTATCACGGTACAACCGGAAGGTTTACACGTTCCCGCTGAACCGTACCACCGGTACTCTAGAATGGGCATGCAGCCCGGAGCTGTGTCAAGTGGGTTCGACTCCGTAGTCATGATGTCGTAAAAACACCCAGGAGCGCCATAAAAACACTATGTAACAGTCGCCTATTTCGGTCACATATGAGGCTTCAGAAAAATAGGCCCTATAACCATTGGCTCAAGAGTCAGGGACACTATCTCTTGTGTTTTTCTACCTCAAGAACGGTCGGAGCCAATTCGGTTCGCTAGCGACATGAGACTAGAACCCGTTACCCGTTATAGTTTAAAGGCTACTACCAAAATATCCCCCCACTCTAGAAAATAAGAACGTTCCCATACTTAGGTCTCAAAATGCCCAAAATACACGAACGCCGTTGAAAACAGGGTCGGAACAATCGGTTAAGTTACTTTTTATTGGACAGTGGAACTTTGATCCATTTCAGATGGATCAACCCAAAACTCGCCTTATCTCAACATAACAATCATAAAACACACTCGAGAAAATTAAATTAGGGACTCACATGTTGATGCACTCGAGTAAAAGGAGTAATTAAATTGGTAAGCAACTCAAGATTTAGTTATTACAACTAGATAAGTTTAATACTGGTCAGTTTTGGTAACAGAAGTAAATTCTGACTCTGAGTTCTGAATTTGAGAACTCAAGTTCAGAATTTCAGCAAATTCTGAATTTGAGTTTTTGTATGAACCATTGGGACACTCAAGCTGTCCACCTTTCCATTGAAGGTTCACTCTAGTTTGTTCCGAATAGTTGTCCTCTCTTCTTTTTATTATCTCTCCTCCTATTTCGGTATAAGACAGCTCTACTCGTGTCCTATTTTATATCTGGAAATTGCGAATAGCAATTTCCCGCTGTTCTATTCAAGCACTTTCCCGCGATTGTAAATCGGTCGTTCTGATTCTTCTCTTTTTGTGTTTTCAGTTGGTGCGAGAAAACTGAGCATGACAGGCTCCATTCGAAATTTTGAAAAATAAAAACTTCACATGAAAATCACGTATTTTTATGTCCCTCAAGGTCAAAGTTCCAGATATGACCGACTGGCACATACTCCCCGGACTCAAGATCGATGTCCTCATCGCGTGCTGTCCCTGTCAGTGAATCCCCAGAAACCCGAGTGTCGCTCAAGATACAGTGCCAGTGGTCATTTACAGAAGTTTGCAGCAGACTTAAGTTTATCTACCTTCCGAAATTCACTACCATATAAAATTTTCACACTATCGCTAAACGACTGGCACATAACTGAATTATTTTTGATGTCAATTTAAAAAGTTAAAAGTCATCAGTGAATACTGTTTCACTCCTCTCTCAAAAATAGCTTTTACAGTTTCGTTCATAGCCTTTTGGTTTTAAACAACCATGTCTGAAAATAACCAATCATAGACGAGTATGTCAACATACAAGACGAACTTTTCACTGAAGCAAAACCTCTTCAAATTAGACAAATAAAAGAGAAGAAGTGCGAATTAAACAAAGAAATTAAATAATTCGAAATGATAATATGTACAGGCAAAACATCTGCCGCCATTGGGACATCAAAACTGAGAGACAGAACATCACACTCTCGTAAAAGGCTAAAATCATTCAAAATTGCTCATCAGAGGGAAAAAACGCTAATTCTAACATCACAAAATACTTTTTTTCCAACTACAATCCAGAGTTTAAAGATGGTTTGCATCTGTGATTTGGATTGGAACCATCAAACACTCCACGTGCATGCCCATGAGGACCACGGTTTACACTCATCCACTCTCAAATTTGTCCAGAAGGTGGATACACTCACAATTCAATTCGAAACACCACTGTGACACTCCTGGACTAATTATGACCTCATGTTGAGATAGAGTCGAAATTTCAGTCGTTGAAAGGCTAAAAATTTCGCAACAAAACAACCTTTACTGAAGATAACCTTAGACATAACATCCAGGAAATTGAGCTCCTCAGAGCTCAAATCTGCCGTAAAAGTGTATCTGAAGCCTACACCTATCATCAGTGTCCAAACATTAAAATACCAACAAGGAATTCTGGATGCAGAACACTGCAGCTTTGTTCCGCTAATTTTGCATGTTCTGGAGGAGCAGCACCCGGCTCTACTAAAATGGCCAAAAACTAGCAGAGAAATTAAGCGAATAACGGAACGAATCATCACAATAAACTTTGCAAGATCCAAAAAAAGATTTGCATTTTTGAGAAGTGCAATTCTCTGCTTCAGGGTGTACTAAAAACTTAAAAATACAGACAACATTGACAATTCCATCAGTGCTATCATCGAGGAGGTTAGATTTTCATTGACAATTCTTTTTTTGATAATTGTCAATTTTGGCAATGTATTTATATAGCGTTGGTATCGCCATATTCAACCTGTGTACGGACCGTCACATGGCGGAAAGGCCCATTCTAATTGAACCTCCTTTTTGGGAAAAATTCAAGGTGATTCGAGAAACGTGATTAAACATAGATACCCTGCAAAGCAAATTAAATGAAATACAGATATTCATTTTCAGTAAAACTGAACGTTCCGGTTGTCCTTACATTCGATCAATTTTCTAAAGGAGTGTACAGAAGTTTCAGCTCATTGTTGAGTGCCACATCTTACCTGAAAGCTAAGCTGCAAGGTTATGTTTTTCTCGTATCTGAAGTCGTGCGAAGCTGTGTTGCATCGTCTGTTGACTTAGTCCATTTTTTTCATATATAATTTTTTTTGATCAACTCGCGAACTGCTCAAATGATCAACAAAGAAACTTAGTTTCTTTGCAAAGATTGAAATGTCAATGGTATAAATAGAAGAAATTTTGGATAAGAATTAAATTTTAGACGTTTCCGCAATTATGTGCATCGTAAGGACTGTTACTAGAAACTAATCTAAATGACGATATAAATTCAATTTACAAATGTTCTATACAAAAATTTCATTAATTTTGGTTCTAAACCAAAGTTCCGGAAATTGTTATTGCATTACTTTAAATGTTAGTTTCTTACATTGATATGTCGTTATTATAAAGTGAATTTGTTGAATTAATGTCGTGTTAGTGTATTGTTGATAGAGCCCAAAGTTTTTAAGCTTAGCATTTTGGAGTTTGTGCGCTGCGTTGAGTTCATATAAGTCAAATCGAGTTGCAGGTTCCTGAATGAAGCATGCGACGACAGTGTCGAATCTATTATGTCTTTACATTTGTCGTCGAGCACTGGAGGAGGTGGAAGAGCTCTAGGAGTTGATTGGCGGTCTAACGAATGGTTACGAACAGGTTCTTCGTTTACAGATTCTTTTAGTTTGTCGTTCATTGTCATTGATAATCCTGTTCCTAAAATTAAAACAATGGAAATTTTGCTTCTAGCAGCAAATTATGGTAATCTATGTATGTACTTGGTTAAATTATGTTCATCTCTTTTCTTTTTTGTTTTCGAAAGTGTGCCCAAGTAGCTTTGGAGAATGCATAAATGTGTTTCTAGGTCCACGATGTTTTGAATTAAGTTTTTAAAACTTATTCATTGAGTTGCTGCATCCTCTTGTATCGTTCTTGTAGGCAGAAATTTTCAATTCGCTCGGCCATAATCTACAATTTTTGTGTATTTTGTTTCTCTATCTACAGTATATAGTATATAACATGACTGCTTGCATCAGCAAAAAGCCCCTACGATACCTTAATCACCCAAAGTGTCACCCTGTTGTATTTTTTTTGACAATCATTTGTCAGACTAACCATAAATATTTAAAGATGCGAAAACTTGCTTCGAAGATTTTAGTTCAACAATTTTGTCTGCGGCGCATAAGTGTTTGGCATATGGGTCTGTTTGGTTACTCTCGAAGAAAAAGGTTGGCTCAATTTTTTGGAACATCATACGCCTCGTGGTTATCTTATGGAGTCATATTAAATGCGTATCCAACATATGAACATTTTTAAAGCTTTTTATACTTTTTTTGCATGTTTAACGAAAGATTTTTAGCATATTTAAGTTTTAGCTCCGCTTCGCATGTTCGCTATTTTTTCCCTTATTCCACTGTTTGCCCTTGAAATAAGCAAGGGTATTACAATCGGGTACTACACTTTTTTCCGTTACCAACTTTGTCCACATGATGACTGAAATTCGGTCATCTACAAATGTGTCTCTATTTCTACTCCGACTAAAGTAATAATTGTTTTACAACTGAAAAAGATTTTAAGATGCACGTTGATTTTTTTGTCGGCTTATTGATTTCGACCCAATTTTTGTCGGTTTTTGGTAGATTTTTTGATATTTTTTTCCTTCATTTTGATGAGGGTAAATATAGTTCATGGTTTTTTGGTTTTGATAGGCGCCAAAATTTTCTCTTAGAAATAAAACTTTTTTTTGAATTTTTCTGCTATAGTATTTTTGCAAATAAATTTTCAGTTTTTTTTTCGGATGCATCGTTTTTGAATTTTTTTCTAAAGTACCTGAAACTAGTTGTAGTTTTGTTTAGTTAGGAGTGTTTATGGTTTGAGCAATTTTATGTGAAATCGTATCAAGTTGATGGTTTAACGTGTTGTTTCAATTTGTTAAAAAATTTCAAGAAAATGAACAAATTTTTTTTTTGCAAATTTGTTTCAATTTTTTGTCAACAAAGGAATGTGGCGGCAAGTTCTGCACAAAATTTAGGCGTGTGGTTCTTTCTGGCTGAAATTTTTGAGAAAAGTCATGATTTTTTTTCGTTTTTAATGTTGTTTTTTTTTCATTTCGATTTTATACTATAACGGATAGGCACTTTATCCCCGGTTGTTTTTTATTAAGAGTAATGAACGTGTTGAAGACTCTTATATAGGTCTTGCTGATTTTTCTTTGTTTTTTTTTCAGGAAAAAGACAAATTTTTGATGCACTTAGGTATAATGGACTTTTGAGGTCAATTGAAATTCATCTGCTGAAAGTGACGTAAAAAGCACTCCAAATACCAACGTGGAAATGGAGCGAAAAAACGTGAACTATTTCTAACATGAATTTACTTTAAGATTTCCCAGCGGAATAAAAACTTACCTATTGATCCAGTTTTCTCAAGTTGGGTTCATGTTACCAAAAAAGCGCCAGTCATAAATAGTTCTAGAAATTGAAAGAGCTTGAGCTTAAAGGGCATGTCTTTTTTTTCTTTGAAATTCGAAAGTTAAGATTTTTCAAGAAGGTTAATGTTTTATTTATGTGTGCCATTCCGCCGGATGACACAGTATAACCTTCCCGCGACGGAAAAAAAAGTGACTAAAGGCCTTACGAACAGAAAAGTGTTGCGACGGAGGGTCAGAATGTTCTGGAATTTTTATTTTTAAAATTTCGATTTGAAGGAGAACATTTCTGAGAAATAGAAAAAAGACGGCCATTTTGAATAAAATAGAGAAAAATCAGAACGACGCCATATTTTGTGACGAACGGTTGTATCCGAGAAGAGAAAATTACGGAGCCTCTTATCGTGGCAATAACACACGATAAGGACCTTAGTGACAGATATTTGTGGAGACGGAGGCTTCAGTGGGGGGAAGAGAAATACCACGGAACCCTCCCGGGACACGAAATATAGGAGATAAGAGTGTTATCTCAAGAAAATCACGGGAGCGGAGGCTTGGTCCCCCAGAGACTGTTATATGTGAAGGGACTGGGTAAACTAACTATAACAGCTGCTGTAATGTCCTAGATCGTAATTAACACCGTTATTATTTAATATTTCAGAGCATGAGTAGATAGAAAAAGGAAAGGGTCAATCCATCTCCAATGGATTTAATATAAAACTGTCACACAAAAACATAATAAAATAGGTTGTTCGAGCCGTGTTTTTAATGACAATCACGTAGTCTGAGGATCCGAGACTCAGCTATGTGGTTGTGTTCGCATGCAAACGAAAGCTGATCAAAAGTCGTTTGACTGATGGCCTAAAAATGGTAACTTTTTACTTTGCCCTAAACAGACCAGAAAATCAACTGGCAAGGTCGAGACGGTGAAAAACGAGTAGAATTAAGGTAACTGACGCCTGCCAGTCGTTGATAGGTACTTTTTCTACGCTCCGTCGCTGTGTGATATTTGGGCGAATGTTACATAGACGTTTTTATGGCGCTCCTGGGTGGGCCTGTTAAAGGCATGAAACCATCATGATCAGCAAGCGTTTCAGCGACGTACCCTCCGCTCCGGGCGTATGCCCGAGTTAGAGGCCTTAATGACCGTTTTCGTACTAGGGGGAAGGTGCGTACCCCTCCGTCTAGTACGATTTAGCTTTTTAACTTAGTTAACACCGAAAATTCCGGGGGTCGGAGGGTTAGGTGGGAAATCTAGAGCCCGCTTGTCCTGAGGTCCCAGGACCAAAAACAATTAAAGAGAAAGCGTAAAACCAAACAAAAAATAGTGTATAACCAAGAAAAAGCCAAAAATAATTATTTAAAAACAAAAAAAGTACAAAAAACAAAAAAAAAATCCAAAAAAGACCAAAAACAGTAAAAAAACATAAAGTGACAGTTTATATGTTATTTCCGGACGAGATGTGATCTGACCTTCCTATTTGTTGTTGTTTCAGATTGATTTATATCGTTTCTGATAGAGAGATTGTGTGTTTTGGTGAAGGGTTGGGTACCCTCCCTCGAGTGTAATTTGAGTGTTTAAGCACGTTAATGGTGATTTTGCCGGTGACCGGAGGGTAGAGTGGCAGGCTGATCAACGTGTTCCACACTCAACAGGGACATCAAGGACAACATCCGCAACGACTGTTGGGTATCGTTGAAGCAATTTTAGTATCGTTCGGGTACTATTTCCTTAAAACTTAAGTGGTGGGGGGCACGATTGGCGCGGTCCGATTGTACCCTCCATCGATTACAAATTTCCGAGTTAAGGGTCTTAATTCGAATATTTTGGTGCAAAGGAGGGTATAGTACTATTTATTAACGACTATTTATAGATTATTGTCCTTACTATATATTACTTATCTCCTATTTAGACCCAAGAAACACCCATTTTTTTGTCGAAAATTACCAATTTTCGACCAAACTGTAGACCCCCAAATTTTCGGATATCCGAGCTTTTCCGATAGGCAAAAAGCTTTTATATAGAGAGTAGCCACGTAGTTCGATCCCCTTTATTAAAGAAACCGCGTGAGCAAAGATTCAGTAGAAGTTAGGAAAACGAGAATTTTTCGACCAAAATTTTGATAATTTTCTGTATTTTGTCAATCTGTTTTGGGGATCGATTTTTTGAGTTTTTAGAGTTAGAGCAATAAAATTTTTTGCGTTAGGAGCGTGCTAGCATAACGTGCTCGGTTACTAGAGAAATTTTTGGATAACCCTCCGAGTAGCTCCGTGGACAGAGCTAACGACTTAAGGTTTGGAAAAGGAAGGAATCGGAGGGTCCAAATTTGATAGTTTTTGGCCAAATTTTTGTTTCTAAACCAATTTTGGTCCGGTTTTTTGCATTATTCCAGTGCCGTACAGGGCTACTACGCTCATTTCAAGTATTTTTAGGCACTTTCGACCGGAATTGCGAAAAAAGTCTTTCAGATCCTACACAGGTGGTGAAAAAGGCCATTTTGACGAACGCGTTTTTGGCGATTTCTCAAAGACTAGTTATCCGATCGGGATAATTTTGGTACCATAAGTCGACGTTTTTGACCACTTTTCCGAATCGCAACCGTTTTTGGGTTGATTATTTCGGAAAAGAAAAATTTTTTAGAATTTGTTGGTTCGGAGGGTCCAAGTAACGGGCAACCCTCCGAGCGGCAGAAAATTTTATCAAAACATCTTTTTATTCAACTGGGAAGGTTGACCGTGTCAGCCAACCTAGTCTTAAGTCAGGTAGACCGCTTTCAGAGGCTTTACTGCGGTGATTTAACCCTTTTTCTTGATTTTAGGGGGAACCCTCCGAAGTGACCCTCCGGAGTCAGCTAAACCCTTTAGCAACCCTCCTTAGTGGAAAATTTCCACGAGATCACCCTAAGAAGTTGAAACAGCTCCCCCTAGAACCCTTAGCTTATTTTGACGCTTTTTGAAGCTAGTAGGAGAACCTTCCAAGTGAGATCAGAAAATTTGAAAATTTTGGAGGTACCCTCCGAAGTGACCCTCCGGAGCGTATTAAGCATCTTATTGACCCTCCTTAGTAAATTTAAGGGGACCCTCCGAAGTAACTTGGGTGATTAAGATACCCTCCTAAGTAACTTGAGTGATTGAGGTACCCTCCGAGGTAACCCTCCGGAGTGTCTTAAACCTTCTAGCGACCCTCCTTGTAAGAGACTTGAGTAAACCTTCTGTGGCAATTTGGGAAACGGAAAATATCCATTTAATTAGGATCATATTAGGATATTAGGCGTGCTTATCAGGATCATAA